TATATATATATATATATATTTATTTATTTATTTATTTATTTTTCCTTTTACTATAAATAATTGCAATATCACATGAGGCTAATTTTTGATCCGAGTCAAAATTATATAAATTAATATCATATAAGGGTGCTCTTCTTTTCGATAGCATGCAACCACTTCTCAGTTTTTAGAAAACATGACTTTTTGACTTTATCTGCTTTCAGATGTATCACTTTTCAACCCTTCTCTCCTGAAGTAATATTTCAATAAATTACCAGTAATATTGCAAATATTACTGGTTTACTGGCTACCAGCAATATTGCAAAGGTTACTGGTTATTGCAAACATTACTTAATATTGCAATTAATTACCAATTATACTTCCAGCAATATTACAATTAATTACTCTCATTTCGGAAGCGTTCATTTAACATCACGTATTTCATTGTTAAATAATCTTGTATTTTTATTTATTACAAATATTCTTACCATTTTAAATTTTTGTTGTTTATAAATAATTTTACATTAATATATCTTTAAAAATTTTAGTTGTTAATAGGTATATAAAAAACAAATATTTACGTGATTTGATATCTATATTAAAAGCTTAACTCCTTCACCCGTTAATAAGCCAAAACCCTTTTCCAGAGATAACGACATCTATGAACATCGTCGTCTCATGATGAAAACATTTTTCTTGAACGCCAATGAGGCGATATATCGCCAATAGCTAGATCGGATTGTTGAGATATGAGCTTCCAATGTTGACGGTGCTGACAAAGTATTTTATTTCGGGGAAGGGGCGAAACATTTTAGGGAAAGAATCTAGAGAAGAAAGGTCAGGTGAACACGAATTTTTGAGGGTGGGTCGAAGGTTCCGTGATGTCTATTGGTCCGTGAAGTTAATGAAATACAGATCTTTTGGAAAGAAGCCAAATGTCATTGAAACTTATTTATGAGAACTCGTGACATATATTTTTGACACTCTGAAACTAACTGTTTTTTCGTGAGTATCTTTCAAGACAATTCAGTAACAAGCTATTTTTTCAGGTAAGAAAAAATAAAAACACTCTTCTGACGTTTGTTTTATTTTTGGAATATTTCTTTAGCAAAGGAAATTAAAATATAAATAAAACTTTGTTACGTAGCTATGGTTTGTGTTTATAAATAATTCTTATCTTAATAAGACACGACTTTTAGTCACGTGTTTTAATTATTTCCAATTATTGTTTATGTAGCATTTTTTACAGGAATGATGCTCAAATTTTTTAAAGAGAAAAGCATCTCTCAACTTGAAATATATTTTAACATCATTATTAAAATTTTTTTATAAAATAAATACATTTTAAAATATTGCTGTAAAGCACTAATAAACATTGTATAGTAAAAAAAAAAAATTGCACTTAAGATACACCTTAGAATTAAAATTTTTTGATTCCTGTTTTCCTTTCCGTTGATATGAGCTGTTAGTTATATAAGTTTTTAAATGTATAATATTTAACAAATAATTTGGCTTAATTTTTTTTAATTAAGTATTGCCTATTGCTAGCCTAATACCAAGTTATAAAAAACAATATTTTCGAAGATTTTTTCACCAAACTTTTTAATTAATTAATCAATCAATTTAGTTAGTTATGAATTCTAAGCTGTAAGAAATATTATTTTCGGGAATTTTTGTACCTCAAGTTCTTATTTATTTAATTAATTTATTTTATGTATTATGTACTTTTGTATTAATTTATTTAGTATACTAAATGTAAATATTTAATACATATGCTTTTGTAATTGAAACAATACTTATAAACAATTGAATTTAAGGAATAAACGTAATTCTGATAAAAAAAATTACTTAGAATATTTCGAATATTTATTTGAGAAAACTTTAAGAACATCTAATTATTTTAATTGTTTTTTCACCTAAAAGTTGAATAAATTTTTTATCACTGAAAGTGATATCAAAATTTTGATTTTTGTATTTGCAATTTTATTTTACCCGTATTATTCATGGGTGTTTAAGGTTTTTTGTAAATAAAACTCATTGTTATCAGAAATATTTAGAAAATTAAATAAATAATATACAACGTGCGTGCTATAAAATATATTTATGAAAAATTAAATGTTAAGTTACACAATTTTGAAATTATGTATTAATGTTAAAAAAAAGTATATTGTTTCTTATAAAATAAACAATTAAGACTGTGCACATTATTTTTGTTTGTATTTACTGTTTTTATAAATGAAACTTATTGTTGCAGTAGTATTTAGAAACTAATATGGTACTAAACTTGTATATGCATGTGATATGAAATAAATTAAAAAAGGAAATTTACTAGTATATGCAAAAGTTACATAAATTTTAAGACTATATAGTGTAGATAGTGCTAGTGTGGACATAAGCTAGTGTAGATAAATGGAATATTTCTGTCATTTATCAATCGAAATTTCTTTGTAAATTTCGGCAAATTGGCAAAATTCCACTTCCGTTCCATACGTAATTGTACGACAAACACTTGATTGCTAAGTTGAAAATTAAAAATCAAAGTAACTACAAACTAATTTTCTTTTTTAATTGTCATTTAATACTATTTTTATTCATCGTTTTTAACAATAGGAGTTATAATATTATTACATATTCTTATAAAAATTATCCGCACTTACCCCTATCTCCCCTACTAACATCAAAATAATAAAACAATTTTATATCCGTGTAAACAAGCGATTTTTGTCTACACAGTTTACTTTTGTTTGTATTTACAGTTTTTATGAATAATACAAATTTTTTTATTAATACTTTGAAAATTGTATGATGCTAAACTTGTATTATACATATGTAGAGGGTTGTCAACTTTCTACTCTTTTTGAGAAAAAAATTTCAAAGGGTAGTTAAATCATACTTTAATAACAAAAGTATAACAAAAACTACACATTTTAAAAAATAAATTATGCCGTAATGCAAAATTGATTAGCAAAACTTCCCTATTAACCCTTTGCACTCCGATGTCTCCATTGAGGTATTATCAACAGTCGCCACTTTAAAATTAAGAAATTTTACATCTTAATAATTAGCATTATAAGAATTTTAAAATTGTATAATAATACTTTATTGTGTATTTAAATGCTATAGTGCTGATATCAGCATTTAAAAGTACTCGGAATGCAAAAGGTTAATTGCCTGCCATTCTTCAAAACTAAAAGAGCGGTAACTGGCTGCCCTGGTTATAATTCATAAATAAAGAAAATTATCGGAAAAATTCCACAGTTTTTAAAATTTTATACCAACACTAAATCCCATTTAAACCATTTATAGATAGTTATTATAAGGAATTTATAATAACTGGGATTAATGAATTTGCAAATATTCGTTTACCTTACCAAATGATTTTTAATATTTAAGTGTCACTGGCATCTTCATAAAGCATTAAAAAACAATATTATGAGAAAAATAAATTAATAGAAAAATTAATGATGCAAATAAAGCAATACTTACTCTTAATTTTATTTCAGGTATATTGCTTTTCTGATGTGTAGTTCAATCTGTACACTTCACTTAAAATCCTAATGCTTGGTGAGTGAAATTTTAACCTATGAAATTAAACACAATATTTAATACAATACAATATTTTATAATATTTTTACATTAATACAATATTTTGAAATTATTACAATATTTTTGTTACACTTCTATAAATGTTATTTGAAGATTTTCTAGGTTATATACGTTCCTCAACTTGAGGGTATTAAAATAAACAAATAATGTTTTAATATAACTTTAGAAAAATATTGAGTGAGCTTGAATTGTTCAGATCTTTCTTTAAAATAATATCATTCTAAAAAGAAAGAAAAAATCAATTATTGATGAAAGAGGTAGACTTAAGCAAAATATCTCAATGGAAAATCGTAAAGAACGGCGAGAAAAAAGTATAAAAAATTGAAATTAACCCTTTGACGGAGAATTATTTTTAAGCATATTTTTTTTTAATAATTTTGTATTAATTTTGGTCAAAATAAGTGAAAAATTTTAAATTTAGCATTTTAATAATTTATGGTAATGAAATACGGCATGGAACACAAACAATCTCTTTCAAATGCAACTAACTATGAAACACAATTTTTTTCAAATTTGCACTTATTTGCAATTATTTGCTAGAGAAAGTTTTTCATCATTGAAATTTCTTTAATTTAAAAAATCAATTATTGATACATATTTAAATATGAATGAAGAAATCTTTCTTTCAAACTACTTCTTTTGATTTTTATTTTAGTACAAATATAATTCCGATAACCTTACGGATTGTTTATGAGCTATTATACTGGTCTTCGTTCATATAAAACATTTTTTTGCTTGTAATTAGAGCGTCAGAAAAAATAATAAAATGGACTCTGGTGTCCCATCTGCCTTAAAAGGCTAAAGGGATTGAAAAACTTCCATCTCTGGTACATGCTGTCGATTATTTATGTCTTATTGTTTTTGTTAATGTTTTATCGGTATTATTCAACATTTATTCAATTGAAATACAAAATAAAAATAAAACTATGGAAGCTAATTGGCTTTTTATTATTTTTACTAAATTGGACCCAAATTGTTTAAAAATAAGTGAAATCCAGCTCGTTCTTTAATTCAAGATAATCATTTATTTTTGACAACCAAAATAAACCAAATTTGCTAAGCAAATTTTGGTATTTTTGATTATTATGATTATTTTCGGTTGCTATATTAAATTGATACTAGTATCCCTTAATTTAATACATAAAGAGTTACACTAACTGTAGACTTTCAATGGATCGATTAAAAAAAATTCCGGTGAAAGTTTTAAGGTTGAAGAATTTTATATTGTCTTTAACCCTTTCTAAGGCCTAGGTAAGTATACTTACGACCAATTTTAAAGTCCATGGGGAATTTTTTTGCCACTTTTAAATTAGATTTCCACTTGTTAATAACTTCAGCTTTTTTGAAGAGCGTTTGAATAAAATTGGCAGCCATTTCATGTTTAAGAAAACGTGTAAAAGTTATAAAATGCATATTTCCTTTTGAAAATTGTAGCATCTATAAAAAAATTTTTATAAATAAAGAAAAATTAAATTCAATAAGTTCCTAATAGGTCATGTTAAATATACTTGCCACCAAAAAAAAGCTATTTTTATAAACTAAATAAGTTTTTTTTTCTTACATCAATTACTATTCTTATAACAATTTCAATTCCAAAAATACTTTAATTTACCTTTACTAGAAATAAATGGCTTACTAAGGGGTTAAAAGACTGAGTCATAGATGTTAATAAAAATCGTAATCGATATACTGCTATGCAATTGATGTTAAGTAAGGGACTGAACAACGTAAGAGCCTCACTGTAGATTTCGAGAAGACTAGATTGACTACTATTTATTTTTCTATTGCTAATACTAACGCTAAAATAGAATTTCAAAGAACTGGTAAAACAAAATTTAATTTTGAAAATGATTTTTTTGAAAATGATCAATTTGCAATGAGTCATACAAAAATGCCTAATATATGAAAAACTCAATTTTCAATTTTCGGAAGTTTACGTTGATTTTTCAATTGCTCGGCTATATACATACTCTATATAGATAATAATTTTTATTAAATGCTCTGTCATGCAGTAGAATAATCAAGGTAAGCAGCAAGAAACTCTAAATTAAAAATTTTGTTTATTTGGCAATATTGTATGATAAGCCATATTGCAAACAAACAAATAAATAAATATGAATAAAAATTTTAATATAAGTATTCTGAAATCCTATTCCAGCATTTATAGTATAAGCAGGGAAAGAAAATTATTGTCAAGCCACTTTTTTCAAAATTTGTGGTAAAACAAGCTGCTTTTTCAACAGTAGGGCACGCATATACCCATGTTTTTTTTTTCTTTTTTTTATTCATAAACACAATAAAAACAAAAAAGTATGTGAATATTTTGTTTGTAAAACACTATTCATGCTTTTGAATCGCTATCAAAAATGACTGCAAAAAAGTTAAAAAAAATTGGGAATCGCAAATTAAGCATCTTACGATGTAAAATGAAATCGCAATTTGGAAAATCACAATTGAGTAAGGTGGTTGTATAAAATATCAGATCTTGATTGATTGCGGGAAGTAACGGAGAAGATTTAATCAATTTGTGCAAGTGTTTTATTATTAGGATATATTTCGCTGCCCTATAGTTCTGCCAACCGTAGTGTGTTAATAACATAAATATTTATATCTGATGTCAAAGCGGAGTACTTCTTTAACCTTTTCGGGGCAGGCAAGTCATGAAGTAGTCGCACGGAATCAGAATCAGGATAATAAAAAATAAAAAACCGGAGCATAAGTTTGGTCATAACTAATTTGACACTTATTTTTGCTTTTACTTTAAATCACATCCAATCCCTGTGTGTTAAAAGTGTAACTATACAATTTTTAATTCGAACTAAGTGGCGGTGAATTAAATAAGGTAAACTATTACTTCCCCACCCACAAATAAACTGCTATAAAAATAGTTTGGCTACCAGTTTTATCTTTTGTTACCATGATTATCAAAAACCTGAGAATGCATATATGACTCGCCTGTCTAGAAGAGGTTAAAGCTAAAGTGTAGGTTAAAAAAGAAAAAAAAATACCCACTTGATATAATAACAAATGTGAACTATCACTTTTGACGTATGGGTGTTTTTCATATATTCGTTCCTTGGGTGCTTTTCATATATTCATTCCTTGGGTGCTTTTCATATATTCATTCCTTGGTTCCTTGGGTGTTTTTCATATCATTTTCTCTTTTTTTCGTGAATGCTCATTAAGGGGTTAAAGGATTGAATTTGCTTAAAAATATTCGCAATAAACCTTTAATAATGCTATTTACAGGAAACCCTCACTTCTCTGAGGTAGTTGGGCTTAGTTCAATAAACTTTAAAGAGTCTCAGCCTCATTCGAAAATAAAATACTGGTGACTTTTCCAATTAGCTTTTGCGAATTACAAAACAATCCCATACCCTCCAACTTATGAGGATTTTGAAAATAATTCTTTCTAGTGGTGGCGAACCAAAGTAGAAATTTTTAAAGCAAATGGATCTCTCATAAAACTTTTATCAGAACTTAAGAATCTAGCCATATGGCCTGCACTTTTATAAGTAAAAGTGGACAAGTTACGCTAAAATTAATTTTTTTTAAATATTAAGACGTTAATTTTGTTACCGTCTGAAAAGAAGATTTCTGAAACTACGGAAATTCCGTAGCAGTTGGAGGGTATGCAATCCCAAAGTACCGGATCAAGAAAGATCCGACATATATATATTAAAGTGACATACCTGGTCATTCTTCTGGATTTTCCTGAAGATTTTATTTGTACATTTAATGTGGTAGTATGATTTTTACTTGTTTCCTATTTGTTCATATTTCATTTGAAATGATTTTGACTGCCATTTAAAAACCAAAGCTTTCAGAGTTTTTGGTAATTTTCTCAACATTTTAAAAGCCATACTACTAAAGAGCTGGAAGAAAGTGGCGTTTCAGATTAACTTTTAAATCCCTTATATGTAGGGGTGTGGAAAATACAGTTTTAACGAGGACCAAAACCGCACACCCTCGGTCCCTACGTAGACTGATTTAAGGGGTCATCCCCCCCCCCACACACACACTGACAGCAGCCAGTGATGCTTGACTTCGGTGATCTGCTGGGAACCAGTCCACTGCGGGACGAAATAATTAGAACAAAATGTTTCTGCATATGAACTTTTAAATCATTTATGCGTAGGGGTGTGGAAAATAAGTTTAAATGAAAGAATAAATAATACAATAAAACATAAACTTAGCTATCACTGGAGTAAATTTTTTCAAATAGCGTAGAAAGTGGCTAATTATCCTGTGGTGGAAAACAAATACTATGAAGAACGTACAAGTTGGCAGATCATTATCAGGACTTTTGTGTACAAGGATCAAACATATTTCCATTAATGTATTAATTTTCATTTAAGTTTTCGCAATTCCATTGTTACATATCCAAATTAGAAACTTCCAAACAGCAATTTTTCATTGTTACTTACTTGGGAGCCATACTTGGGTTGGAAATGAATGTTTAAACAATTAATGTAACATCATGAGCTGGCAAATATTACTTCTGTTAGAGAAATAATTCATTGTTCTACAATTCTTTCGTAATTATAAATATGTTCTCAAAGGAGAATTATGCCGGTGCAGTGGTTTCAAAAAATGGACATATCCCAAAAAGGTCATTTAAGAGAATGATTGTTTTAAAAATACAGTTGGACCTCTATTTAACGAAGTCGCTAAATCCAGATAAAAAGTTCTTTATATGGAAAAATTAGTTAAATGGAAAATCACCATTTGAAATACGCAAAAAAGGTTCATAAATTAGACATAATTAAAATAGCAATTGATACACCTTTTTCTTGTAAATTATTATCTACTATTGAATTGTTTCAAATGATTTTATCATATGAAGGTTTGGTGATATCTTCATCATTTCTGACATCATCTTCTTCGACACAATTTCTTGCTGTATTGTTTTTCACTCTGTCCAAAATATTAGATTCAGTTAATGTTTCTGCGATTCAAAATTAATAAAAAGAAAATCAGTGCATCATCATTAATTTCGTGGTTCTCTCTTAGCTGTACCCACAATTTTTTAAGCTCATCCTCGTCCTCCACGCTTTCCAAACTCTCAGCACTGACTAAGAATCAAGCAAAATTGTTACAAATAGTACGATCTGCAACATCATACTTCCATGCTTTAGATATTTCTGTTATGCCTCCGTATATTGATTATTGGCATGGATTCCTATATGAAATACAAACAAGAAGAGAAAGAAATTTTACCACTTTCTCTA